TCCCCCGTCCCGTCCACACGGCTCTCCGCGTCCAGACCCCCGCCCGGCCTCCCCGGGTCACCCCGCGTCCCGGCCGCCCCTTCCCCACCGACGCCCACCCCTCAGTGAGCGCAGCCCCTCCGACGGCCCCCGAGACGCCCAATCCCCACCCTCCCTCCGCACACTGCGGGGGACCCCGAACCCCGAGTCGTCCAGATTGACAGTCCTCACGGAGGGGACCCCTCGCACCCCCGTCCCCCCTGGAGGGAGCGGGGTCACCCCGAGCTCGCTCCCCGCCCCCACTTGGTCCCACGCCGCCGAGTCATCTTCCTGCGGCCTCGGGTCGGGGGGACCCCGCAGACCCGGCCGCCGGCGAGCCCCGATACAGACCCCGCGGCCCCTGCACCCCACTAGCCGGCTCGGCCCCCCCCTCCAGCTGGTGAGAGTCCCCTGCCCCCTCTGCACATTCGCCCCATTGCAGTCTCCATCCCCCTGTTAGCAGTTCCTGGGCTGGAACATTCTAGAGACACGGCCTTGGCTGATTGAAAAAGGAGAAAGAAAAAAAAAAGTCTATTTATGCAAAGAAATAAGGGATTTCGGGGAGCTTCTGAAAGCACGACGTGATCCCCCGCAAGCTGCGATCTGGAAGCTACAAGAGTCAAGAAATAAATGTCCCCCTTCCCGCCTCCCCCCAGGAGAAAATTCCCCCCAAAACCCCTAAAAGTCCCGCAGGCACATCAGCAAGCAGCGACGACTGGGGGGAGGTCTCCTGGCATCCTCGGACCTGGCGTGGTTTCCGCTGATCAGTGCTCAATTGTGAAACTTTTTCATGGGGGGGGGGGTCCCCAGAGGCGAGGTCCCCCTGCATGTGTGCATAACTGGTGTTTTCCTCTGCACAGACCCCAGAAGAAATAGAAAGACTGACGGTTGATGAAGACCTCAGCGATATCGAAAGGGCTGTTTACCTGCTCAGGTATTTGCACCCTGGCAGCGCTGATGGATGCTTTGGGGGATGGTGGGGAGGGAGGGTCACATGGACTTCACCACTGGAACCTAGTACATTTGCATGGCAGGAACTTAAACGTGTTATACAATTTAGATGTAGGCATGGACTTAGGCATTTTTTTATCCTTTTTTATTATTATTAATTTTAATAAACATTTACAGAGACTTTGGATTTCCATTCATTCTTTGTTGCATTTTTCTCCCTGCCCACCTTTCTGGACTGAGGAATTTGAGACTTGAAATAAGAGAGCGAATTGATGAAATACTTCTTGGAGGAGGGAGAGCAGAACTTTTAAAAAATAACTCATGGACTGAATTGAATCCGATCCCTTTTTAAAAAAAAAAAAATCCGCCCCCCCCCTTTTTTTTTAGCTTTAGTTGTTTTCATATAGAGGAGACAGAAATATCCAGTGATTAACTTTAAGCTCTTAGAATATGAACATTATATATCATTTACAATATAGAAATAATACTCCCAAATACGAACATGTTAGAATTTGCTGATCAAAGTATCCTATTTATATTACTTTGATAGATGAACTATTTCATTTTGCCTGAGAGACTTAAAAATTAAGGCTACTTTCATTTATATTTCCAAGTATCTCCTAAGTGCCACAGAATTGCTACAGGCAAATTATTATTGCAAATATTTACGAGATTTAGCTCGACTGTTTAAAAAATTGTACTATTGTGGATTTAACGTCTTAGAAACGACTATTAATGAACAGATCTAAGTGAACATTAGTGAACATATCTGAGAAAGTACTTTGGAAACACGTTTTTTTCCCAGGCGTTTTTTTTTGTATACCTTAAAGTTTAAGAAAAACTTGTACACCTCCCCCCGCCCCCCCCTTTTCACTTTTGTTTAGTCTTCACTTTTATTTTTCGGAATCAGAGTTTGGAATTTGATCGTTATTTACTTCCCAAGATATTGATCACCCTGGTTTCCTTAGCCTCCCTCTGTTTGGCCAGTTTCAGGTGGTGGCAAGGTTCTAGGTCTCTTGTTTACAGATCATGTTTCCAGCCCCATGTTAATTCACTGGATGAGTCTATGGAAAAAAACAAACTTTCTTTTATGATTTCAGTTTTAATTAGTCTTTAAACTACTACTGTTCTTAATTTAGTCAGTATCAGCATACTTATTTAAGGCCATTCCTTCAAATAATTCTATTTCAAAGTCTCTTTGGATCTTAGACCTATTCTGATGTCATTTTCCTCCTCCTTTTGCATGCTCACCTAATTTCTATCTATGGAATGAAAAGAATGTGTCTTTTGATGTTTACCTGGGGACTAATCCAACTTTAGGCTATGCTGGTATTGCATTGTTTTATAGATGAAGTGCTTAGTTTCTCAATAATGTACAGAGTAAACAACAGTTACCAACATTTGTCTTTTTCCGCAGTTCTGTGATTCTGAGTGGGTAGACAATTGGTGTTAAGCGTGATCAGAACTGACTCACAGCTGACCTTTAGTGAGTGTTCAGAGGCTGTAAATCACATGGGAGGAGATTGCCCATCACCTTCCCTCAGAGCACCTGGTGGATTCAAACAACGTGCCTTAGTTGATGTTAAGTTTGGATCTTTTTAGCATTCAGCAGTTCCTGGTTTGGACTAATTCTCTACTGAGTTGGTCAGTCTCAGCACTGGCTTCTGAGTAGAAAATAGAGACTCTTGCTCTCCTTCCTTGTGACAGCAGATATCTCGTTCTAGGTGTCAGTGACACAGCTGCTCTTTTAGGATAGCTTATATGCTTTGTTTCCTAGTGAACCAGGTCATCCTACTTTGATGTCTCAAGCACAGGACATAAGCTTCTCCCAGTTCTGGAACTTACAAAGCCTTTATAAAGACAGCCAGGCCCTCTCTTTCTTAGAGGAGAGCTTGAAAAAGACCCAGTGTCTCCTTTAGTTTCTTGTGGGTCACCTGCCTTGAAGGAGATTTACAGGGTGACTCGGGGTGTGGGGGGGAACACTAGTGTGGCTGTGGCTGGGTTCTCAAACGGACTTATGTTCTTCCTGTCTCACCGTCTTTGGGGGTGGGAGTTAAGTGGGATTTCACCGTTCTGCCAAGCCAATAGCAAGGTTCTTTCTTCCGTATGATTTAGGGGCGGAGGGACCGTCTCTTAGCTGTTTTCTAAACTTTCCCTCTGCTAAAGCTGCTTCACCTGCTCTTGTGTATTGTGCTTTCTATTTTAAATTTAATTTATTCCTTTCCCCCTTCATTTGGGTTTTCTAATGCTATAGAACATAATGTTGGGTCCTATTTTTCTCTCTTTGCATAATTTTCAGGTTTATTTTAGAGTGCTTGACCTTTTCCTCAGTATTGGACATTTTAGTTTGTTTTTCACTTTCTACTTTCAGATATCACATTTGTTTCTTTAATTTCCCCCTAGTTTTCCATACTGATTTTGCATATTTTGAAATATGTTAAATTAGAATTCAAGGTCAACTATATGGGGATCAGTAGGCAATATTTTGTGTTAGTTAAGACTATGCTGGCGTGTAAATGAAATCTAACACTTTAAAAAGTGTCTTATGCAGAGTCTTGTCACTCACTGAGTGGAAAACAAATCACATTATTCATTATCTTACTCTAAAAGGTCAATTATTAGTGCTATTTTCAATGTTAAGTTTAGAGAATAGTATGGTATTTGAAGATTTGACAGAGGTGAATTTGTGATTTTGCATAAATAGGATGCTAATCTCCCATCTGTGGCATTTAGCACTGAAGCAAAACAACTTTTTTAATAGTCACAGCTTGTGCCTTAGTCAAATCACATCATAACATCTTTTTCCTGTTCTCTCTTTGGCATACGCTTTAGGAATATGCTTAAAATACGTGAATAATTTTATTAGTGAAGAGTTAAGTGTGTTTATTGAGCTTTTGTTAAGTGAATCTTTTTTTTTAAAAAATTCGAAAGAAAGTTTACAGAAAAGTTTGCACTTTTCTTCCTTCCCCCCCCCCCCCAGTTCAATCTTCTCTTTGAAAAGTAAAAGAAAAATTCTTTAATTGTTATACAATCCATCCCCCAAGTCCATTCCACTATTCTGCCTTCATTTTGGACTCATGTCATGATAATAATACCTAATCATATATCCCTTTTAAACAATTCACTCCCTCATCTGTTTCATTGCAGTAAACATTATCCCCTCTTTCTCAGTCTCCCCTCAACCCCTGTGTCAGTCTTGTTTTATAACAGTGGTATTATGCCATATTTGTCTTTTTGTGGCTGAGATATTTCACTCAGTCAGCATAATGACCTCCAGGGTCACCCATTTTGTGTAATACTTCATGAGTTTCTTGTTTTTCAGTGCAGCATAGTATTCCACTGTGTGAATATACCAGAGCTTCTCTATCCAGTTGTTTGTTGATGGGCACTTGGGGTTGTTTCAAACTCTTTCTATTGTGAACAAAGTCAAAATAAACATAGGTGTGTATATATCTGCTTGGGTGGTAGTTCTGGTTTCTTTAGGGTATATTCCCAGTAGTGGAATTGCTGGGTCAAATGATATTTCTATTTGCAGATTAAGTGAATCTTTATTCATATCTCTCTAGTTGCCTACGAGATAAATCCCAGATACTTAAGCCTTGCATTCTGAACCCTTCACAAGTTACTTCTTAACTGTGCATTATGATCTCTCTCTAGTCCCTCACTTTTCCAGTTTTTTTTTTTTTTTAGCCCCTCTCCCTCCTTCACCGCGCCCGCCCACTTTTCCAGTTTTGAGGTATAATGTATATATCACTCCTCGGCCTTTTGGCTAAGATCAAGTGAGGTATAATGTATACATTTTACTCATTTAAATGGTTCAGATCAATAGATTTTAGTGTAGTTACAGAGTTGTGCAAACTGTCCTCACAATCCACGTTAGAACATTTGCACTACCCTAGAAGAACTCCAGGTCCATTAACAGTCACTCCTCTTCACTCCTCAGCTCTCCTAACCCCCAGCCAGCTACGGGAAACCATTCATCTTTGCTCCTTCTGGGCACTTTATGTAAGTGGAATCTTATAATACGTGGCATTTTGTGACAGGCTATTTTCATTTGCTGTGATATTCACCTAAGTTGTAGCAATGTGCCAATGAAATACATTTGTTTTTATGGCCAAATGGTGTTTCGTTATATTGGGTGGACCACTTTTTGTTGACCTGTGTTTAGCTGATGGACATTTGGGTTTTAGTGCTTAGTCCATCTCTTTTTGAAGCAACCTTGGTGGCTTCTTCACTGATCCTTAACTCTGATGTTTCTCATCCTAGAATGCACTTCCGGTACACCTGTCCGGTATTTAGCCATTCCTTTTGTCATCATGCATCTTTCTCGAGGCTCGTGAAGCTGCTGGAACCACGTGGTTCCCAGGCTTCCTTGAGATCCCACATCACTTAGTGGCTACATCCCTCAACTGACAGTTAATTGCTGCTTTGCATTCACAAGTGTGTGCATGTGTGTGCGCATTTGGTCAAGTAGGTTGCACATTCTAGAAGGGAAAGTTCTATTTTACGTTTTTTTAATGCTCTTTGCTGTGATATGAATATATAGCTTTTCATGGAATGAAGCATATTTATTGATTTTTTTTTTTTAAGTGAGCAGAATGCTTGATGAGTTAAGAAACGTACGGTTTTTGTATGGTAGACAGCAGAATCAGACAGACTTGGGTTGTGTTTGCCTTAATTGTTATTGTCTGTGTGACATCAGCAAGTTATTTGTGATTGTTCAGCTCTGGTGCCATCTGGAAAGGATTCCTGCTTCCCAGGGTTCTTGTATTCAATGTAGAGCACTAGGCATATGCTACCCAGTGAAAGGTAATCAGTCCTGTTAGGCTCCTTTCTTTTCTTCCTACTTTCCTCCTGGTTGAGCTGCTTAACGTACCTGTCCAACTTTTAGAGGATAACAGTATTAGTTTCACCGTCCAGTAATTTAATAGAGAAGCAGGCAGGCTAGTAAATGACACCAGCAGAGCTTTGTGATAGGGAGCC